TGTGCACCCCAATCCAAGACAAAATTACACAAGGTAGAGTCCGGTTGGGTTACACACAATCATGAGTACTAACGCTGGTTGTAATTGTGTATCCACCAGGAGGAGCAGTGTGGAGGAGCATTCATTCATTTACAGCAGGGGTAGGCAACTCCAGGCCTCGAGTGCCGGTGTCCTGCAGGTTTTAGATGTGTCCTTGATCAAACACAGCTGATTCAAATTGCTAAATGACCTCTTCAACATGTCTTAAAGTTCTCCAGAGGCCTGGTAATGAACTAATCATTTGATTCAGGTGTGTTGACCCAGGGTGAGATCCAAAAGCTGCAGGACACCGGCACTCGAGGCCTGGAGTTGCCTACCCCTGATTTACAGGGTTCATACACACTTGCACTCCGATTGCACAGCAATATGTATGTGTGTTTATTAATGCCAGAAATATGCGGCGCTTTGTTCTAAACATTTCAAGTGATTAATAATTTCAGTGAAACGCTGCTGTAGGACAGAACCACGAAGCTCTGGCGCTGTGCTCATAGCTGCTGGTAATCCTCACCATCTACAAGTTCCAAATAAATTCACAGTCATAGCGGAAAATATCAAAGCTCTGCCTGCTTACTAAAGTTGCCCACTATGAATCACCTGTAGTTTCTAAACTCCCCATCTGTGCTCTGCACATCTCTGATAAACTGCTGCAGTAATTTTAAGGCCAAGACCAACTTTTACAAACCGGTAAGAGCGCAGACTATCATTAGCATCACAGTGAGTTCCTTTGTCACACATTAGGTAATCGTTGAAACAACTCTCCAACCTCACAGAAGGCCAACAACTTCCAAACCCCTGCACAAATATTCTCTCTCATCTCATCACTGTGATTTTAACACATGTAAACAGTATTTCAGGAATCACTGACAGAAAGTATTTACAGGACAGAATCAGAAAGACTTTATTTATCCCCAAGGGGCAATTAACATGCAACAGAGCAGCATGACGTTGAAGATATCAGTTTTCAATCGTTTTCATCCACACTGAAAATGCTGCCTTCCTGTATTGCGCATGTGTGAAACGTAAGACAATTCGACCTGCCTCATTTCTGTCTGTCGTTAATTTAATTTCTGGCTCTTTGAAACGTCACGGCAAAATGTCGAGTAAAAGCACCGAGTTTTTTAAATGGACTAACAATGAGGTGGAGTTGTTGCTGCGAGTAATACAAAAGTTGCAAAAGTGAGTTAGAATTAAAGAATTTGAAGAAAAGCTATCTGGAGCATGTACAGACTGACTTTAATCTTTAATGGGGCTGTCAACATTGAGAGCAAACAAAACAACTGCTGCACAATGCCCTCCATAATCTTCGTTTAATTGGTCACATGACTGCAACACATGACTAAAATACGTCATCGTTTTCGCCTCCATTTTCGTTGTCCACACTGCGACACAAAAACGGCATTTTCAAATGAAGTACTGACCTTACTTTGAGTTTGATTCCATAAAAAGTGACATTAGCGTCCGTTGTGCGTGGGAAGAAAACTTCTTTTTACAGTGAAAAAAACCCCCTAAACTTCCAAGCAAGCACCAAGTGCGCTACCACGTAATGGGAAATTCACAGAGAAACTCGCGGATTCTTCAACTGACCGCGGCACACCTGCACCAGGGCAAACCTCCGCCTACCGCAGTCCTGCTTTACAGGTGAAAATAGAACAACAGGAGCGCTAGTCTTTGATTTTATTTATTTTCTGCTGTGTTTTACTTGCATCTAATTGAAAGACTGAGTGTAAACACAAAAACTATTTTATTTTATGTGCTGGAATGTGCAGAAAATAGGTTTAAATGTCTTCCAGTCAGTGAATGTTGCATATAATTAAATTTTTGCTTAATGCATAAAGTTAAAAGATTAAAACTAATAAAACAAGTTTTAATAAGAGACTTTTCTATTTGATTACATTTTGTATGATGGATTATGCAGAATTGGGCTGAAAGATCTATTGCTTTATGACCTATTCAGGTTGTAAATCGTGTTTTTAAAAACTAAGTAATTAATTACTTTACTGATTACTTATTTTCTAAAGTAACGGGATTACTTTTTTGGGGAAGTGATATAGATATAGATATAGATAGATATAGATAGATAGATAGAGATATATATCTCAGACTTCACTATTTAGTCTGAGATTTTGATTCAGAGTTGTTACATGAATATATCCTGATCTCATTATTTAGCCCCCTAAAGGTCCTCTTTAAGCAGAGAGGCTAGCAAAACAGTCCTTTTTTAGCCCGTGTTAGGCTACTCTTTAAATAGTGGAATGATCATAAAACATGCAGACACAAGTGGAGTATAATAAAGTAGCAGAAAATGGAAATAGTTGAATAAAATTCAAGTAGCCTGGGAAAAATGTAAACCACACTTCTTTAAACTGCAGCACTTTGGCAAAAACAAAGCTACATGTGGAAGCCCTGATGAGCCTTTAGTGAGCTGATGGGATATCCCACTGACAAATTAACAACAGCAGCCAAAAATCCAGAGTACACACTCCCTTTAAGGGTTTCTTCACAGATCATAATGAGTCTTTTCACCGTTAAACTCACATTCCTCCTGCCAAGCTCGACAAATGAGATTGTTGTGCAGCTTTGGCAGAAACACACCATTGCTGTCATGTTAACAAAGCTGTTTTCACTTTGAATTGATTTGAATAAATGTTGTAATAATACTCAGCACTGTCCAATTCCACTCAGCGTTGCTCTTTTCTGCGGTGAAATCATATTAACCGCCCTGCTGTTTGTTTTCTTTTTCTGACTCGAGCACAGAGTTTTATGTGAGGATGTCATCTTACTGAAAGACGTAGCGATGTTTGCTAACAGCCTTTGTGAGCGTATGACCACAGACCATGTTCGACAGCAGGCATCACTTCCAGTAACACTTCGTTGTTTTACCCGCCTGATATCTGAGAGTCATTAAACTGTCATCTGTTCATCTGCTGCAGCTACAGATTGTGTAAAAATAAACTGAAATCCAATGCAGATAGTTTTATTTGATTATTGCATAAAGTGGATTGGGTGATTTGATCCTAACAAACCAAATATGGAGCAAAGAGGATCTTTGTGTGAGACGATGTTGGACACTTTCTGAACAGTAGTCACAACTTCTGAATCCTCAGAGAAAAAAAATAAATAAAATAAACATAAATTATTTGGGTAATAGTTCTTGCATCAGTTATATAAAAGACAGATTTTATATTGCAACTTTTCCAACTCTAAAAAAGGGCTCATCCTGTAGTATCAGTGTACAAATGTTCTTGTGACTTACAAACACTAGAGAAAAGATGGGACAGAAACTGTCTTTTAACCAGGAAATATTGGTTGCTGATGATTGGATGATTTTTTTTTTTCCATCTTTTTGGCAAACAATTACAGTACTTGCAAAGGTCCACTGATTATCCAGAGGTTGAGCACACAACATCCTCAACCTCTGGGTGACTTTTGATTGCAAGGCGGTTGCACAGCTCACCTTGTTGGAGGCACTGGTTGGAAATTTGTGGAGGTGGCAGCAGATTTGCAGAAAACAGACATATTATTCTGCTGCTGGTGGAAAATGCAGCACTAAAAGGGACTCCATGTCTGCTCTGCTGGCCTCTCATTTCAGTGGTTACCAGTTAAGAACAAAATTGCCTTTAAGATTCTTTAATTTGCTTTTTAAATTGCATTTATACTGGTATCAGATTACGTTGCTAGGACTTTATTTATAAAACTGACCTTTTGTCTTTTTTGCTCTTGAGTGTGATTTAATTAAGTAGTTATTTATGAAACGTTACTCTGACGTTGAAAAGATCTTATCTGTCAGCAAAGTGTAGGTTTGACGTCAGTTATTTTCCAGCTGGTTTTCCAGTGGGACTGCTTTTCAGGACCATTAAATATATTTAAACATGGCTACTCTGACATCACATATTGGTCGGTAAAGTCTCGAAGCGCCCGGCTGAGTGGAGAGGGGTGAACTTGACTGGAAAACTGGACACAACTGGTCCTTTAATGTTAGCTGGTTACTTCAGGGGCAGTTTATCAGATAAGCTAGCAACGTTACACAAGCCAGTGCTAACATAATTTAAATGTATTTATTGTTTCTTTAACAGAAACAGTCTACAATGGTGCAGCACATTATTTGTTTAACTTTCCAGGAAATCATTCACAAGTGGACACAAGCACCAAAACAGCCGCACATACTTTTTCTGACTCATCATCTGATAAAGGTCATTTGCAGCTATTTGAAAATTCAAGATATCAGCTGACTCTGGAAAGAAAATATCACGAGATAACCACACTTATGCGTCTGTTTTCAAGTCCTACATGTTTGTAAAGAAGTTGTTTTTAGAAAAGTGACATTACTTAGAAGTTTCTTTCTAATAATAAGTATCATGTAAACGCTTTACATTTTAAAAATGGTACAAAATGATTATTCTTACATTTGGTTTCTGCAGAGTAAATAAAGATGGCCACGACCATTCTCGTTTTTTTTCCTTCTGTTCTTGCTCCCCACCTTTCTGTCCCAAAAGCGGCAGCAGTCGGGTTCAATCTATTATTCAGTGAGGTTTCTCTGCGGCATGCAAACAGAGCATCAATAATGGAACCAGCAGCTAATGAGTCACCGAATACTGCAGGAGCATAATCTATGGGCCACAATGGAGGATATGGACCATGTGTGGACAAAAATCAGTCGCACTGTGAGAAGTGTGCAAGGAGCTGAAACTAACAAGGCTCTCTGCTCTGCTCATTGGGAGGACTCCTTTGTAGCTGCACCGCACAGGCGACTGGTTTCTGTGGTGTTCAGCTGTACAGGGCCTCTAGAAAGTAATCCTGCTAATCAATCACTAAAATAATGTGACAACACGGCAAATGGATTTTTTCTCTGCATTGAGTAAATGGTCGTAGCAGCTCTTTGTCATGTGGGTCTGCTGTTCTGTACTGTAAACAAAAATAAGAAGAAAACAGAAAAACTAATCCTGGAGTGACTGTTTACACAGGTTCAAACAGGGATGCTAATCTGAGGTTCCCCAAACCGATGCCATCCTCGTCCTGTCTGTGAAAATCACAAATGTGAGTAGAGACATGATTTTTTTAATAAATAAAGAGAAACTTGGGTGTAAAACTTAAACAAAATCAAAGAAAGTTAATGTTATAATCCCACATGTGATTGAAACCTAATGAATGTTGTAGTACATGATGTTTAACCCAATATGCATTCAGCTGCTCACTATAAAATAATTGTTTCCCCCTTAAATTACACCTATTAATGAATTAATATTAATTAATATTAAATTAGTTGTGACACAATTGTAAGTAAAGTGGTAGGTATATATTTGCATATACCTACCACTTAAGCAATGGTGCACGAACACCCACTAACAGTGCAACAGGTGCAAACACACATCAGTCGAGTAAATTCATCCTGCTGTGCTGATCTGTATTTACTAAAATGGAGCCAACACACCTTCAACTGTTACCATATAAGAGTGAAAATTTCTGTTCCTTCGGGCGGTTGCTGGCTTTTCCTGAATGATAGATATTTTTATTCAGTGTATCTGAGATACAGGTTGGTTACAGTGCTGCTGTCTTTAGATGAAATAAAGCAGTTAAAGCTCCTGCACAGTGTTACCGGCTCTGGTTCTGTGGTTTCATTAATATTTCAGGTTCAGGTCTTCCTGCTGCTGCAGAGGAAGTCGAGACATCAGTTCTTGGTCGAATAGTGTGAAATCTATTTTTTAATAATTTCAGTTTTGTCTCTTTGCACATAGACTTTAGTTGTGTGATCTTTCCATTGACTGACTGCTTTTTTTCACTGGGGTGTATGAACATGAACTTTAACCATTTTATTCTGTTTATACTTGGACAATTTATCAGAATTGGGACAGATGTTTTTTGTGCATTTGTCCATATTCAAACAAAAGCTGTTGGGCGTCATGTTAGCCATCTTCAGCAGTATTGGCTGCCTCCACGTTTGCAGTTGTGTCCTCAGTGAATGAAGCAGAGAAGTGCTGCTGAATTAAAGAACAAAGTCCAAAGAGACAGCAAAAATTGTACTCAACAATGCTAATTTGTAGGAATTATGAAAATACATTGTTAATTATACATTAGTAACAAATTTCTAAATAAGACACCTGGTTAAGCTTCTTGCAGAAATACACTTGGCATCAGTACTGTGACTCACAGTGTTACTGAAATGGTACCAGCTTGATAGATCTGGGTGCTTTGACAGGGCCTTCGGGTAGAGTTTCTGACTGTGTATTACCAACCTGGCACTCTTTCTTGTGTGAGTTGGCACATAGACCATCAAACACCAATTCTACTCTTGCATGTGTCCGTTGGGCCGTGTTTAGAGTGTAAATCAACAAAAGATTAGATGTAGACGTGTCAGGAAATCAAATCTAGAAGTTCATACATAGATTCTGTTTGTAGCTCGAACAAAGATGCACTGATGAATCACTTTGGCACATTTGATTCAAAAATGATGTTAAATATCTGGAGTCAGTCGTCTCCTGGTTTATGGATAACCCTGTCATAGATAGATATGGGGACAACTGATCAACTGGGATCTGCAAGAGCAAACGAGACCCCAGCTGCAGAACGTGAATTCATGATCATCACAAATGCACAGAGTGGGTAAAAAAACAATATTATCTTGAGGTATTTGTTTTTCTGCTCTGTTCGCTCTCAGTGATTCTGTTGGTTTGCACATCAGAGCTCTGAAAGTTGATATTCTGAGTAACACTGAATGTTACTCAGTGTGCACAGTGGTCTGACACTTTCCCATAGTCTAAAAATAGGAGATGTGAAAATCCCTTTACTCTGTCGCCAGATCAAAGATCACTAAATTAACTTTATTTATTCAAACTAAGTGTTGTTTGTGACCCCTTTGATGAACAGGTGTTACCAAACTGGGCTGTTTGTGGTGTTAGAGCCTTTTTGCCTTATTCTGACAAATAATATACAGACAAGCCATCAAAGAAGAATATGTTATAGTGTTGGTGAGATCATCCATCCATCCATCCATTCATCCTTCCTTCCTCCCTTCCTCCCTCCGCTTATCCAGGGCTGTGTCGCGGGAGCAGCAGCCTAAGCACAGAAGCCCAGACCTCCCTCTCCCTGTCCACCTCCTTTATCTTGTCCGGGGAACACCCAGGCGTTCCCTGACCAGCCGAGAGATATAATCTCTCCAGCGTGTCCTGGGAGGCGCCCAGGAAGCATCTTTATCAGATGCCCGAACCACCTCAACCGGCTCCTTTCGATGTGGAGGAGCAGCAGCTCTACTGAGCCCCTCCCGGATGGCCGAACTTCTCACCCTATCTCTAAGGGAGATGCCAGCCACCCTTCGGAGGAAGTTCATTTCCACCGCTTGTATCTGCTTTCTCGTTCTTTCGGTCACTACCCACAGCTCGTGACCGTAGGGACGTAGATTGACCGGTAAATTGAGTGCTTCGCTTTTACCCTCAGCTCTCTCTTCATCATGACGGACCAATTCTGGCCCATTGCTACGATCCTTATACAACTGTTGCAGGAGCTTGGTTCGCATAGCTGGCAGTATGTCGGACTTCCGGTGGGTGATGGACTCTGCCAGGGCTGCCGTTTGTCACTGATTCTGTTCATAATTTTTATGGACAGAGTTTCTAGGTGAGGCCATGTGGTGGAAGCCTTTCACTTTGGTGGTCTCAGAATCTCATCTCTGCTTTTCGCGGATGATGTGGTTCTGTTGGCTTCATCGGGTGATGGCCTCCAGCTCGCACTGGAACAGTTCCAAGCTGTGTGTGAAGTGGTGGGAATGAGAATCAGCACCTTCAAATCTGAGGCCATGGTCCTCAGCTGAAAAAGGGCGGAGTGCCCACTCTGGGTCAGGGATGAGCTCCTGCACCAAGTGGAGGAGTTAAAGTATCTCAGGGTTTGTTCATGAGTGAGGGGAGATTGACAGACAGATTGGTGCTGCGGTTGCAGGGATGCAGATGATGTTGGCTAGATTAATTTGAGTAATTATTCAGCTTGCTGGTTAAGCTTGTTGGCATTAGTTGATTAGCTTTACCGTTTCATCCAAATGTGGTCATGTTTGGCTTCAAAAACACAGCTTTTTAAGGCGAATTCTTAAGTTGATGATTGAAAATGCACAGAAAATACAGCAGTTATGGTTCTTTGTACACTTTTGTAGATTTATCTGTAAAATTTGTGAATGAATTGCTTTGTTTGTTAAATAAAAATATTATTGAGACATTATTTCAAAACACAGACGTTTCTACACGGTCCAAAATTTTTGAGCAGTGGTTTATAGGCATAAAAACTCTTCTCTGAGCTTCCTCCTGACTCTCCTTGTTTCTCATGTGTTATCGTTCAGCTGCCTGAGGACAATGGTGGTTACGCAGAGGTCAAAATCAATAACAATTCTACACTTTAAATGGATGTTTTCTGTTTATTACACACCTCTTTTTTTACGCTTCGCTATCCTTTAAGTCTTCTGTGTTTTACCAAAGACAGCTGCCTTCACTTCAGACCTGATTTTCTGTAACTTCACATAATAGAAAAAGTAAATGAGCTTATTTTTTTATTTTTTTTAACCAGGTTGCATAATTTTAGATCATCCTCGTGATAAACATGCAGAACCATTTACTGCTGGCGGTTAAAACACAAGGTACCTTTTTGGAGAAGTGCCAGTGTGTTTGGCCGGAGGAGCTCACTGATTCACTGAAGCTGTAACTAAAATAAGCTGAAAACACCCTGTGATAACGGCGTGTATGCAGCCGAATCTTTGGCTCAGACAATAACATGTTTTGTTCACTTCATAATTTAAACATTCACCGAATTCAAGGAGACAAAGCCGGCAGTGTTTCTGCAGCTGCAGCGCAGCTCAGTCAGACTGCCGGAGGTTTGCTGCCATCATCTGTTTAATGAAGCCATGCGCCATGTAATTTATGGGTTTGGTCAAATTTTATCACTTAATTTTTTCCAACATTTATAACACCTCGTGTCTTACAGGAAATATTCCAGATTTTAAGGGCTAAAACACACATTTAGTTTCTGTTAAAAACGAAATCAGTTTTACTTCCACTCAAAGAATGACAACCTGAAACTAGAACAAGCTTTTTTTTTGTTCACCATGTTTTACTCTATAACCAGAGTATATATAGTCTATATAACTATATATGGTTTCAATAGCAAAATGAAACCAGTTTAATGTCTGCTATTGTGGGGAATACAAACAGGCACTGATAGCCAGATATTGGTTTTATCTGTTTTATCTTGGAGGGCCTGGATCACAGAGGGTCTTGGGATTGATGCTTTCTTGTTGCTTCATTTCCTGTTCAGCTTGTCAGTGTTGCTGTTGGCAAACAACAGCATCCCTCCTTTAGCTGTAGTGCATGACATCCAGTTGCTGTGACACTTAATTTCAGTGTTGCAAACTCAGATCATCCATGTGTCTTCATGTGGATTAAGATGGATAGATACCTCACTGATACCACAGCAGAGTAATACAAAGTAAAAATAGTAAAGTCTACAATAAACAATAAACAAACAACAGCTGCATAATACAAAATCTTTTACCTGACAGGTGTGTTTACCTGTCACAGAGTGAAGAGTTATTATACAGCTTTATAAAGCAGTGTTTCCCAACCACTGTGCTGCAGCACATGGGTGTGCCATAGAATATTATCTGGTTCCACCTGATTAGTACTCTAAGCGATCGGCGTGAGTAATGGACAACGGTTACATTCTCTTCCACTAGAGGGCAGTACAACTACCTGCTCTAATTAAATGAGTTGCCAACTGCTAGTAAAACAGAAGAAGACCAAGAAGAAGGGATAGACAGGAGGCACTTGTCTTAAAAACCACGATCCTCCTCAGCTATTCTCTCCTTTCTGAATTTCTTCTCTTTCCTCCTGTTAACTGTTTTTTTTTGTTTGTTTCTGTTGCATTTCTACTGAACTTTTTTCTTTTTTTACCATCTTCACTTTGTTAGGCTTTCTTCTTGCTGCTTCACATCTTTAGAAGAAAGAAAAAACCTTAGAAAACCTTAAGTCAGATAGACACAAATGAAGAAATACTGACCTCAACCTTCAAAAAGCCTCTCAGGTAAATGTTGTCGGCTCAGTAAGACGACCAGCAGAGGAGGCTGTGGTCTCACAGTAAAACTCGCAGCAGCCTGCACCTTCAAAAAGTCCTGTGAGAAGATTTTTGAAGCTCAGTGTCTGATTTCATTCTGATCTTAAGGAAAAAAGCCAAATAAAATATTATTGTATGACTGTTTTTTTTTAAAACTAAGATATATAACTATAGTTATCAATTAATTATGGGACAAAAAATATTTATTAATATGTTTCGTAATAAAAAATCAGGGGTGTTGACAAAGGGACTCTGACTGCTGATGAACCGAATAATAAAAAACAGCACAAACACACACAGACACACTGATGCCATTAACTTGCTGCGTATATATAATGTACAGTTTCTGTCTGCGAAATTATGGTTGAAGTGTGAAAGTTTAACCAACAACAGCAAGAATGTTTCTATTATTATTAATATTAGAGCAAAATGTTTTACATTGTTCTTCATGCTCTGGGCCGATGTTTGAGGTGTTTGATTGGGTAAGAACATAAATAAGCAGTATACTTCCTTGCATCGTGGTCCTCGGTGCTCATATAAGATGACAAACTGCCATCAGTGAGGGTGGCATGTGCCCACGTTGCGTAATCCAACACCTTCTGGCTCCTCTCTCAAAGCTAAAAATACCAGCAGGATCTGGATCTCCATCTGATACCATCCTCACCGTCTGCATCTGCATGCTTCCACCTCACACTGAAAAAGAAAAAGAAAACCCCACCCATCCCTTACGACTGCTTTAATCTCACGCAGAGGTGTCGTACTGTAGCTCTGATTGCAGGTCGGCTGTAGGGGATCTCAGGGTGGCTGACGTCGAGGCTTTTCTCCGGCTCATGGTGGTTTTAAGAAGCAGCACTCAGACTGCTGACTGCAAATACTGGATGTAAACAGCACATGTCACACTGTGCCAAAAATCTCACGTTCAGGACTGCAAGTCTGTGCCATTCTTTAACACTCTATCCTCTGCTGCAAACAACAGAACCAGATGGTCGTGAAATACTTTAAAAATTGCACATATATGCCACCATCATTGCTCCAAATGCAGACAATTTTCCCCCTTCAAACTGGAGAATCTTCACACTCCTGTGCACGGACACAAACTGGTACACGGGGAAGAAGCATGAGCTGCAAAAATGGAGGCAATAACGATTCATTGCATCACACCGTAAGTCATTGTGAAGTTATTCGTTTTGGTCTTCATGGCCTCCCTCTGACTTGTATTTTATTTTAATCTTTTTGCCAAAAAAGTTTGCCACAATAAACAAAGACTGATATTATCAACCCTAGTATTTTTTTATTTTTATTATTTTTTTAAACGTCGTTTTAGTTTTTTTTAGTTAACTTTTATAAGTGTACACAGATAGTTGATGATTTCTCTCTGCATACGTTTGCTGTCTGCGGTGAAATCGCAGTCACAAAGGTCAAGTTTTTTATTTTAATAGTCAAGAATTCAGATTTTCTGGACTTCTGGTTTCAGAAGTGCAAACCTGAAGAGAAACTCTTGACTGTAAACACAGCAGGACTGGTAACACCTGCACACTTACTCCACTTTTCATTCCAGCCTAGATCTTTTTCAGGGTTTTTATCCAGTGAAAATCCAGATTGTTGCTTTTTTCTTTTTCTTTCCCTCAGTATCTTTACAACCATTTCTTAAACTGAGTTTTTCATCAGTTCAAGCTTTCATAACTTTCCACATGATCCCCTGATGAAAAACAGAGAAAAGCCTCAGAAGTATTACAGTTTTTATCAATATGTGTTATGTGCAGTGTTGGTCAAGTTACTTGAAAAAAGTAATCAGTAACTAATTACTGATTACTTCCCCAAAAAAGTAATCCCGTTACTTTACTGATTACTTATTTTCAAAAGTAATTAATTACTTAGTTACTTTTTAAAAACACGATTTACAACCTGAAGAGGTGATAAAGCGATAGATCTTTCAGCCCAATTCTACTTTTTCTGCATAATCCATCATACAAAATGTAATCAAATGGAAAAGTCTCTTTTTTTTTAACTTGTTTTATTAGTTTTAATCTTTTAACTTTATGCATCAAGCAAAGATTAAATTATATGCAACATTCTCTGACTTGAATAAATTAGTTTAACATTTAAACCTATTTTCTACACATTCCCGCACATAAAATAAAATATTTTTTGTGTTTACACTCAGTCTTTCAAATAGATGCAAGTAAAACACAGCAGAAAATAAATAAAATCAAAGACTCAGCGATCCTGTTGCTCTATTTTCACCTGTAAAGCAGGACTACGGTAGGCGGAGGTTTACCCTGGTGCAGGTGTGCTGTGGTCAGTGGAAGATTCCGCGAGTTTCTCTGTGAGTTTCCCATTACCTCGTTGCGCACTCGGCGCTTGCTCGGAAGTTTAGGGGTTTTTTTTCGCTGTAAAAAGAAGTTTTCTTCGCACGCACAATGGACGCTAATGTTTTTGTCACTTTTTATGGAATCAAACTCAAAGTAAGGTCAGTACTTCCACACTTTAAACGCTGCACGCTCATACTCTCTCCCACAATCGATATGTGATCCATTGTTGATCTGCACACAGCTGTTGTCACTAACGGCGCACTCGCTTACGTCACTATCGTGAGACATTCTCGCAAAAAATCACGGTTTTAGTAACGCAGTAACGCAGCGTTCCTACGGGAAAGTAACGGTAATCTAATTACCGTTTTTGCAATAGTAATCCCTTACTTTACTCGTTACTTGAAAAAAGTAATCAGATACACAGTAACTCGCCCATCTCTGGTTATGTGACGTTTGCAATTTCACTAAAGCAGAACAAAGTGCTGCCTTAGGGGAAATGAAAGTTTATTTAAAAGACACATAAACATTTCAGACATGAATCAGCAGGTGAAAACATCAACACTTTGACTTTGATCAGTGATTGTAATAAAACTGAACGTTACCTCGACAGCAGTAACACTGGTTTTAATTCAGTGGAAAATTAAAATGTGTTAAGTCTGTTTTTAGTCTCCTGGCTGTCATGTAGCATCGAGGTGAGATGGAGGAAACATCGGTGGGATACTGGAGACCGAATAAGCATCCTGCAGAGTTACACTCTTTCTACACATTTCTTCTCATTAAGTGCTGCAGCTTTTTATACAAACAGCTGCTTTAAATGTCTTGTTTTGTGCTGCTATCTGATTCTCTCAGTGTGTAATCAGACATTTCTTTCACTCTTTTTCTTCTCTCAGATGTAATTAGCTCCGCAGCAGCTGAGCGTGACTTGGGGAGCGCTCGCCCTGATGAAAAAGAGGTTAGAAGCAAACAACTGGTACACATTTCTACAACTCCTCCTTTTATCCCTTTCTTCTATTCATGTTGCACTTTTAATCAATTTCTCTGTTTTGCTTTGGTGTCACAAATCAGAAAAACACTTTTCATTTTGCACATTAAAGACAAGAAATCCAGATTGCAGAGATGTATGGAAGTTCAAGAATGACAAAAAAAGGAGGAATTTCAATCCAAGATTTCAGTTTAGTTTAAGAGATTGCAGAACTCCACTCTAAGAGAGATTGCAGACTCAGTTATTAAGGTGTGTTTGCAGATGTGATCAGGTTAGGGTTGGTATAGGGAATTATGAAATGCTGTACATATGACTGAATACTCTGAGTTTGGACTTGTTCTCAAATGGATTACATAGGTGCCTCAGCTCTAAGTGCATAAAAAAGTAAATAATGAAATTTAAAAAAAAAAGAAGAAGAAATGAATGAAAACAATGTTTTAAAATTAATTTGAAAATAATTTCCAATTTCAAAAAAAAAAAACATTTGAAAACAAAAAGTGCCTCCTTTGCTTAATGAAGGAGAAATGTGACAATATATAAATAAATAGGTAAATGAATGAATTAATCCAAAATGTGAAGAAAAGATACATTTGAATGGAAAAATAAACATAATAATAATTTTAAAAAGTGTAAATAAATGTAAGTTAATTAAAAAATAATTTGGCATTGAAAAATTAAAAATAATGAACTTATTTGCACAATTAATAGTATTTAATTGAATTATTAATATAACATGTTAATATATTACATTTTTTATCTTATATTTATATTTGACACTCTTTTGTGGGGAAACTATATTAATAACTTATTAATACACTTGTTGAATGTGTGTCTGTGTTTGACTGAGAGCAGCAGATAAGTTGATAACACTAATAATCAGCAGCAAAGAGAAACAGGACAAAAGTTCACAATCTTATGTTATTTTGATCGGACAGATCGTCATCTGGTTACTTATCTGGTTGTTTCTTGTCAAATTGCAGCTTGGTTACAGTAACCATTACCCAACTCAAATTATTATTATTTTTAGCAGCCGTAAATAACTATTAATTGAAGATAATTAACTACTAATACACACTTTATTCATAGTGGTTGTGATAAGGTGTTATTAAAAAAATCTTGAGAATTGTAAATACAGATGTTGACATGTAAAAGTTGCAAACGTGAGATAATGAAGCAATTTCTACTCGCATTTTGACCCAGTTAGTAGTGCTGGCCTATCAGGTTTAAAATACACTGAATTGAATAAACTTGGTCACATTTTGTGGTTTTATACTTTTGTTGTTAATGAACTTCCATACAGCGACGGGTGGTAGGTTTGTTACCGTTTAACACTCTAAAGGCGTCGTTCATGATATCACTCTCATGTCCAAAGCCAAAAGTAAATCTTCAAAGTTAAACTTAGACCTTAAAATTAATTCTGAATTAAATGATAAACTGAAAAATGAAATAAAAAAACATAATTTTAATAATTCTTCATCTTTTGGATACATAATGCTGATAAATCATCTGCACAAGAAGGAAAAATGTTGTACATGTTTTACATTCTACCAGAGACATTCAACACAACAATCTGGATATCACAATGAATGCCACTGTATCCACGGTGGCATTCATTGTAATATAATCTGTCAGAACATTGTTTCATCCCTTCTGCAGTTACACTGTAGAGAATTTCCACATCTCATAATCAGATCAAGTTTGCACTCTTGTTTTGTTTTTTATGGTTTGGATGTTCCTGAGTTGAATATTGCTTGAGACAGTTGTGCTTCCAGTCACCAGAAATGTAATATGATCTGCTGCTGCTTCGAGAAATGTTTCATTCTTTTAAATCAAATTGTACTGATGCTGTAACTTACTTTTTAAAAAATGTCTCTCAGTTGTTTTTCCCACCAAATTTGCTAAATTGTCTTGAAGAGTTTTTTTTGCCCCAGAAACTGGTTAATTTAAGCATATTTTAGGTACCTCTTAACGTTAGCTAGTCACTATTCTATTAACATCTGTAGCCCTGTGTGCCTCCATACATAGTTTCTGGTATACAGCTAAAACATGTTAATGAAGTGTCTATACAATAATGAGTATTTATAACCTAGGGACGCAACAAGTAGTCTGTATTTGGATTGGATATTGGTCAGATGTGAGGTCATCTGTTAAATTCATTTCGACTCAGAGTCCACTTGCGATCAGCTGTGAGCTGCTACACTTCTTGGAAAGCTGATGTGTGTTGTAAGCACGAGTGATAACATTTCATTTACGCTTTTGTCTTTTGTTGGATATTTATTTGTAACATTTTATTTTACTCACATCTCGAGTCAAGCCTGATGATGCCATAGAAATGATTTCCCAGCCCTTGTTTCATTTAAACACTGGTACCAGAGTGGTGAAACGTGAACTGGAAAATGTTGGATTGTTGCATCCTTGCTACAATCATGTAGAACTGGAGCAGCTTCAGAGTGCTACTTTGCGCTTGACTGCTGCTCACATTGGTTTTAATGAGGAGCGCGGTGGCTCAGTGATTAGCACAGATGCTGCTGGTTTCAAACATGTGTTGGGTCTTTCTGTGCAGTTTGCATGTTTTACTAGATTAATGCTCCCTGTATCGGCCTAAGAAACGCACTCTTCACATCCCGGTTAAATAAAAGTAAAAAAACAAACCAACAAACCTGTAACTGAAGAACAATGGAAACTGTATTTCATCTGTGCTTATCAAAGTAAAGCTAACAACCTACAGCAAATCACTGACATGGATTTATTTGTTTTTTTCCTTCTTCTTCTTTTTCATTGGCTGGCACGCTAAATAAAAAGTATTTAATGCACACTAGCAATGCAGCAAATGTCTGGCACAATTTTGATGGTGATGCCATTGGTAAAATGCTAATTTAAATAAATATGTTTTGCCATGCACTGATTTTTGCGGCACCATGAAATGCATAAAATGTATTTAATACCAAATGAGCCAAAAAAGGCAAATTCTGTTTTGTTGATTGATTTTCTGTAGTATATTCTGTAAACATACTGTGTATATACATATACATATATATTTATATATACATATACTAGGGGTGCAACGATACTCGTATCGATATTGAACCTTTCGATACAGTGCTTTCGGTTCGGTACGCATATGTATCGAACAACACAAAATTTTTAATTTATTTTATCAACTTTCCTTCTGACGATGCTGTCTGTGTTGAGCGCTCAGTGGATCTGCGCTCGACAGTGCAGCCTAGGTGGAGTAGTCGAACACAGATTTACTAATCACCTGATATGTTTAATATGCTGCTGAGAATATAGCCCAGAAGAAGCGTATAGTATAGCTTATTTTGGAAAGAGCCATTTCTCTGTAATAAACTCTCTTTTCCAAAGATGAGTGATTTCTCAATCAGATAGATTTATTTATTTTTTATTACTTTGTTGTTTCAGCAACATTAATTTTAAAAACTGTACTTTTGAGTTAAAATCTATATTTATAATTTTAATAAATGACAAATTAAAAAGGCATGAACATTTTTTGTATCGAAAAAATATCGAACCGTGACACCAAAGTATCAAACCGAACCGTGAATTTTGTGTATCGTTGCACCCCTAATATATATATATATATATATATATATATATATATATATATATATATATATATCATTAATATGTATACTGTGATAAATATCAGAATATTATAATTATATTAGAATTTTGAATTGGCACTGTTAACAAGCTTGTGGACCTTTTCTTTCAGGAAAGTCTACAAACGTTTGAAACCAGTGGTTCCCAAAATTTTCACCTAAGACTGAGACGTGTTTAGAGTGCGTTTGGGGTGCAGTGCTTTCTTCATTTAGGTCGTTTTTGTTTGAATTGCAGTTTGGAAGGCAGATATAGAAAAGCTTAAAAATCTTATTAAAAATGACTTGAAATGCTTTTATTCACATGGCATGCTCATGTTTTACCTCCAATACTCTAATGCTCTTTGGCATACAAACTCCACAAGCAAGCAGGATTTAATGAGGCTTTAATCTGTGCCTCCTCGTCTCCCCTGTCCTCCTCGCTGTGACCCTGAATCAATCTCAGTACTCCAAGCTGAGGGATGTCTCACTTCCTAAAATGCATCAAGAGGACAGAGGAGAGAGGACAGGCCGAGGCACAGGAAGAAGCTGTGATTAAGGATGCACAGACATATCCTTGGAGATGTTTTTAGCTTCACTATAAAAGAAGCATGGCACATAGCTGGACTATGAAGAACATGGAGAGAGGAGAACTCATCTTTTTATTCATATGTTGTGTCAGTTATGTAAGAGGATCAAACATTCAGCCTTTGTGTGTGAGATTTTTGAAAAAAAGGTATGATATCCTGTCACATTGCATCATATTATGAATTTAATTCACAACATGATGCAATGCCCTAAATATAAAACATGTCACGAGCACAGTTACATCTGAGGTCATAAATTCGGCAGTAGATGGGCTGTAGTTGTTGTCGTTTCCATTCATCGCCTCCCCCGCTTGAATCGCTGGTGGGAGGGACGTGGGGAGAGGAGTCGATGATGTTCAATCTGGGAAAATTAGAAAGAGGGATGGAAACCGTCGCTTTTCTCTAGTCATGTGCAACCAACAGGAATCTTCTAGCAATAGGAATCAACAAAAAGCACTCACATCTACAGAAAGCCCTCATTTAGGCCGAGGTGTTTGCTGGTCTGTAATTTATAAATCGAAGCTTGTGTTTGTGTACGTCTTCTTTATTTGTTGCTTCTTTGTATGTAAAGAACGAAGTGGTCCGTTCCAAAACCTGAAATTCGGATGGGTTCTGGATGTCCAGGTTGATGACCCGTAGATTGTCCTTTTTGATCCAAAGATGTCTTTTTATGTGGACATCCTTTTGTACGCCTCATCCTATTGGTGGAATATCCTTCACACCAGGTTGTGTGTATATGTTAGTCCCCATAGGGAAATTGCTCCTCTGCATTTAACCCATTCACCCAGTGCAGCGCCCAGGCAGCTATGTGCTTTGCAATGGAACTTTGCTATTGTTTTAATAAACAAAGACTCTTATTAGTGGAAGTAGCAAAGAGGTACTATTTCCTGATGAAGGCTTGTTGTCGAAACTCAAAGAATTTTCATTGAACATGACCACGCCATGAGAATAACAGGCATCTTTGATTTTTAAGCTGAGACTTTATTTTAGCGCTGTCAGCGTTAATCTTGTTAAGATGACGTCAACGCCATAACCACATTAACGCAGTTATGGCGCTAACGTCTCCGTTAGCGAGTTAGTGCGTATCGCTCCGTGCTTGGGGCTGCACGGTGCTAACGCGTTAACGAGCTAACCGCGCTAACGCATTGACGCCGTGAAGCCCCACGCACGGTGGAGACGGAGATTTGCCGCGTTAACGCCATTTTA